CGTATTGGTCGAGTTTGTTGGTTGAACCATTTTCGCTCGCGTATTGGTTTAAAAGGATTGGGATGACTTAGATTGTCGTCCCCACAGACGGCGCCAAATGTTTATGCAAGGATATGCACAACAATGTATTTCAGATTGCAGCTCGAACTCGGCTTCCGGACCGATCTGAATACTTGGGCGGACCTGCACAGAAAGGTGAGCACTCCGACGATATAGGTCGGATTCCCAGTTTAGTTCGAGGTCAGAAATCATCGTACCTGATCGTGGAGTGAGGTCCTCTACTTATAGGTGGTAGTCCCGCTAATCTTGCGACGGTTATACCCGGTAATCTCGGGACCATCTGTTATATCCGGTAATCTCGGGACCGACGGTTACACCCGATAATCACGCCGCTGACAGTAGCTCACATCGGCCCTTACCGAGCTTCCCGGTAGGTCAGACCTCGGCCAGGTTCACCTCGGCCCTCATACTTAGAATCTGTCAACGCTAGTGGTGGTGATCTCGGCGACCCGAGCTGGGCATGACTCATGAGTCATCTTGGAGCACCAATAGGGGTCCTCCACGTGTCCAGGGTATTCTCTTCCCCAAACATATATCATATGATTGTGCAAATGAATGGGTTATATGAATCGTTCCTGTTTAATTGGTTCGTGAGCATAGGGTTGGTAAAAATTAAGTAAAAATAAAAAAACGAGTTTTGTCCTAGTTTATTTTATTTTTCTTTGGTGCACCCCTATATGATGATATGCCAATGACCCTTCGACGCGTGCCTACTCAACATATCCACGTTAGAGTAACTTTAACCTTGGCATACAATAATCAAGGATTAAAATATCATAGAAATGTCAAGATCTCAATTTTATAAATATGTTAATAGAAACATTGATAAAATGTTGATGTTAATGGATATTTTCCTTAAAAAATTATAAAAAGATAAAATTCATAATAATAAACATTTCACTTTTTTTGAAATTAAATTAAAAATTATTAATATTAATCATTTATATTTTGTCGATTTTTTTGTGATACTATAGAATTATTGTTGATTCATCCTTTCATGTTGATATCGAAGTCATTAACATATTACACAAATGACTATGGAAATATATGGGGAAATTTGACGGAATAGACGTTCTCCACAGCCTTTTTTGTTTTCTAATCACCCTTTTCAAAACATAAGTTTTCTAGGCATTTGCTGACATCACTTCGATAATAAATGACTTCACTGCCCCTCCACTGAGAAGAGATGAGAGAGAGCGAGAGCGAGAGAGAGCGAGAAAGATCGAGAGCTCAGAGAGGGGAGAGAGGAGAGAGAGAGATAGAGGGAGAGGGAGAGAGCGAGAGAGACAGAGCGAGAAGAGAGGGAAAACCAAAGAGCAGAGAGTAGAGGGGTAGGGAAAGTCATTTAGTATCCATGGTGATGTCAACGACCATTAGAAAATATAGGTTTTGAAAAGAGTTACTAAAAAACAATACTCTCTTGGGAAAATGTCTATTTATTGTAATTTCCCGAAATATATGTATGTTGATAAAAATTTATCTGATAATAACATGTCTCTACTCGCTAAAGTGAGTATAGTTCAACGGTAATTGGCATATAACTCCCAACCAAGAGGTTTTGAGTCTGATCCTCCAACCTTACATGTTGTACTAAAAATAAATGAAATAAAATAAAAAATAATGTCTCTGCCCGACTCTATTAAATACATGATCCTCATTATTGCACAATGGAATCCAGCCACATGATATAAAGCAAGATCATCTTTGTCACCTCCCTTGATATAACACTCCCACCAATCTCTTCATCTATAACCGTATGCTTTTTTGTGCATTTACGTGTAATTTACTCATCTCTTTTAAACAAATAATTTTCTAAAAATAGCTTTAATTAAAATATTTTTGTGTATTGATTACATTTTCTTAAAAGTAGTTTTAATCCCTAGTTTGTTTGATGGCACTATATCTAAAAATTATATAATAAGTTATCATAAAGTAATTTCAGAGTGATTCTCGATCAATGACTTTAAAATTACTTTTTGGATAATTGACTTTAAAAGATTTTTTTAATTATTATATATTAATTAGATTACTTAAAAGTGATTTTTGTTTGTCACTGAAACACTTTTAAGTTTAAAAAAAATATATGGTGTCACCCCTACACCATTTGGTCCCTAGAGCCATTTAAGTCTATCCTTCATGTTTTAAGAGTTCCAATCTTACCTTTTATCAGAATGTTGCAATAAAATCACTACTCAATGTAATACCTTTTTTTTTCTCCTTTTTATCTTATTGAGAAAATAATCAACAAACTTACACTACCAAAACATCACTTTCAACTAGAGTTACAAGCCAGTTATAACATCCAAGTAGAGAGGAGAGATATATGAATGAATCGATACCACGCATCCAAATAAGAGGGATCTTAAGATCATGAAAGTATGGTTACGAAAGTCTTAAAAGAATTTATAATCACTACCTATATCAACAAGATGCACCTTCCTTTTTAGTGGTTCAATCATAAGAACTCCAAAATTAACAGAGATAGTTTTGCTTTTCTAAATAGCTCAGATAAAGATGGTTGCATAGCCAAATCGCAAGGGAATGGCAGGACAAATAGGTACCGAATCCTTGTCCAAATCCTAGGCTTGGAGCGTTACACCAATTAGGACTGGTATCACTCAAAACCTTCATGATTTGGTCTTCTCATGCCTTCCAGATTTGTGAGCAGCGCGCTATTAGCTTCTCTGCTTATATGCTTCATGAAAATCACACCTGTACTACAACCAATAAATCATAATAATTTAAAATATTTGTTTTAACTTGCTAGCGTTTATTTCTTTAATGTTAAATGTCATCACAATTAGGTAACACGATGTGATATGAAGTTAAAGCGAGCATAACTCAACGATAATTGATATATATTTCCAACTTAGAGATTGTGAGTTCGATCTCTCACTCCACAATAATAATAATGTGATACGAATATTTACGTTTACAGCACTAACTAATATAAATAATATTCTAAAATATATGGCCATCTTATTTTTTCAATTATAATAGAGTTATTAAAAAATACAAGATTGAATATTTCTGATATCTTAAGATTAAAATTAGAACTCTCACATATTAAGAATCAAAGTAAAAAGTGATTAGTAGTTCACGAACCCAGTCACATATTTAGCCAAATATCTTATCATAAAAATTAAACTGAAATCTTACTCAAAATTCAAGAATTATAACAAAATTTAGAATCATAAACATAATATTTTTTAAAGAAGTTTGAAGATTGAAATATCAAAGACACAGTTGTCTCTTACAACCAAGATCATGAAATACCATTTGGACTATCTTAAAACATTCGGCCAAAACAAAAGAATCCCTAGTTCCAACTGATGTTTAGACCATAAAATATAAGATAAAGGAAAAATAAGGGTCTCAAAGAACCGCTACAAAGTGATCTGTCCATCGTACAGAGTTATAAGAAAAATTTCTCAAAGCATATGTATTATATTATCAATCCGAGCATAGTTCAATCGATACTGCACCAATTATCATCCAAAAGTCGATGATTCGATTCCCCATCATTACAATGGTTGAGCCCAAAAAAGTAAGTATATGTACTATATTGTAATACATGTATTTCTAAAAAATAAAACGATAGCTTCCAACAGTATTTTACTACAAAATAAAACACCATCTTCCAAGGATCCTCACCCCATTATTACAAATTACACAAAATCTGTCCCCATCCCTCCCCTCTCTACAGCTAACAGTATACCATCTAAATTGCAAAGAGCTAAGAAACCAAAATACTAATCCAGAAATCAGATACAGAAAAGGAAAACTATGTATTGAAGATTCCAGCAGAGGGTATGAATTCTATGTACAAGAAAAGTGCAACGAACCTGATGAACGCAAGGCTTGAAATTGAGGGGATAAATGAGAGGCTAAGTTGGTCGACGATGCTACAAGCAAAGAAGGCTATAGAACACTAGTGGTATAAATGCGTTGTCAAGTTGTGCTGTGTAAGCCTCCAACAAACCACTAACTGTGACGGCTAGGAGGAGAGACAACCACCGCTGAAAAGGTTGTGATCTAAATCAGGAATATATTGATATAAAAATTACAAAATATAATAATAAATAAGTAATTATTGAGCAAGTAGTCTGAAATCAGTTTCTTATGGGGGTCTGTGAGGTTTCCTTCAAGCTTCACTATTGCAGGCACCCACATTTCGAGGATAAGGTGGTTTAGAGGCAAAGCAACCGTAGATTTGGTGTTTAATTAGTAAATAGGTTGTTTAGTATAGAGTAGTTATATGGGATGGTTAGAGTTTGCTGGAGTGAGTTTTTTTTTTTTCTTTAATGAAAAACTCAGCTTAAAAATATACAACGGACGTAAACAAAAACAAGCCCCACAAAAGGAGCCGAAACCCTAACTAAGCAGAACCATATATCAATCCAAAAGAATAAGTCCTAACAGATAATTGCAAAAAAGTTGAGAACAGACACCCACAAAGAAGTATTAAACGTAACAACTTTCTAGAATCTTTCTATCCCTCTAAAAATTCTACCATTCCTACAGTCAGTTTGTTACTGGAGGTGCTTATGAGTACAAGGAGTGAAAGGTGTCCARGCAAGTAATTTTGTAGTTTTTTGTTCTCGATGTTGCTCAAGATAGAAACATCAGGTTCCACAAATCACTTGAGATACTATTTTGCTTCATTTCTTTCTTTTTAACACCATTTTACAGGAGTTACTTGAGCTGGTTCTTATTAGAGGGAAAGGGAGATCGACCAACCTCTGTCAAAATATATCCAGTGGATGCTATAAGAGGAAGTAGAATGGAGCAAGCAGCAAGGACAGATGTAATACCAGCTGCTGTACCTTCAATGGTTTTCTCTACAAAGTACAAGATTACAATATTAGAAACTTAAATCGTAAAAGCCTATATCATGGGGCGTATGAACAAAAGGAATACTTACTGCCAGTTTTGCTCCACCGAAGGACACCATACTTGTGGCCAACAACAGATGCCTGGAAAGGAAGCAAGAAATCATTTTCGTTACGAATGGCAGTTTGAAGCATAATAGTCTACAGCATCTAAGAATTATATTCATACTGGACTTAGAAATTCCGGTAATAGTTAAGTATTTGCCATTTTCCCACCAAATGGAAGCTGGAATACAATTCATTTTCACCTTTCTTCAAAAAGTAGATCCTTAAATTCTAACTTGCTAACTTAGTGCATGTTTGGTTCACTAATAGCACTAACTACCATAAAATCAATAAAACAAGAAATTTATTACCAAAAATAAAAAATATCAATTTAATATTAGGCATTTTTAAGCTAAACTTATCTAGAAGTGGCATATACAAAGAATGGTCCAGAGCTTAGGATTCACAGTAATGAAATAAATAACGACAAGATGGTAGATCCCAAAGTGTCAAAGGTTGATTTTTAAGGGCCAAAAACATTCAGAATCAAAGATTTTGAAATGGTAGAACTGACGAACATGCTTCATTTACTTAAGGAAATAATTATTTATCTGCTAAGAGCATAAACAGGCATGGTTGAGAATTTTCAATCCTTCAGTCCCATTGATTCAGTTAATGCCACAAAAGACTAGTCTAACTAAGAGTAGATACTATTTCTTGAAAAAGAAAAAAAAACACTAAGTGAAGATACTATTGAACAAATACATCAGAATAATGGCAATTATTTCAGGATAAACTTGACAAAAGAGAAGAACTTCAGCATTTAAGTTCAATCAGGAATTTCATAGAGGAAATCACACCAGAGTTGAGGGTATAACCCACTCACCATTGTATCTCCAATTCCAAGACTCAGAATTCCAGCAAAAGGTGCTAGTGGACGATCATTATAACCAGACGACATCCAAATAGGAAGTGCGCATCCCAATAAAAGCGAGAAGTGGCTTAAAATGAACATATTAACAGATAAAAGGGTTAGGTGGAACTTATTCTCTAAAGTTAACAATATAATTACAGTGTATATGAAAAATACTACAACATACCTGATAATAAGAAGTTCAGAGTCACGGTGATCTGTGAAAGCATTCATAAATTGATGCACAGGTTGTCCCAAAGGCCAAATCCTCCATACCTAGAGCAATGATTTATGTATTAAAATAATAAGGATTTCGGCCTCGTCTCACTTTTTGGATACTCTTAATTGCACAAATATTTGCACATATAATCATTGTTTAGCCTTTAATTTCTTTTGATTCGTAGACTTATTCAAATTATTGAAGCAGGTCACCTTTCAGCAATTGTGTTTTCATTAAATTGAAGCAACTTGATAGATGGACTTACGTTTCTAGATGTACCTGCCATAATATAATTTATTCATATCCTTCCAACCAATTACACAAAGCCAATAGTTGAATCTTTGATGGATTATGTTCGAGATATTTTACAGCATATAATGCTTATGGTCAAAGTATTAAGTTTTCCTTTTTTTTCTAACTGAAACGCTGCTCTCATTTAGAAGAAATGATAGAATACAGCATACAAAAAAAAATAGCCCAATAAAAGGCCCCAAACCCCCCAACTACCTCTACAAAAAGGGGTCCATTCCAAAGGACATAACCTAAAGGGTAATTACAAAAGGCCTTCATAACAGTGGCCCAAATGGACGCATTAAACCTAGCAAGGGACCACTTCTCCCTCAAGCCCATCAAAGACTCATGTCTCATGTTGCTCTCTAACCATAACCCCTACATAACAGCAAAGAAAGCACATTGCCACAATAAGAATTTTAGAGGATATTGAAGGGTCTGCAGAGGCAAAAGTTGGCTCATTTCAACATCTTCCTTTGAGTCTCTAAGTCTAAGCATTTTTTTTTAATTCCAAGCTTTTTTTTTTATTGGTAACTATCTTTTATTTATTATTCTTAAATCTTAACAATGGGAGCCTAACTGTGTTTTGTTTCTGTTGGTTCCCTTTGGTTTTTATGGGGAAAAAAAAAAAAAAAAACTTTTATTGAGAAACATGAAAGAATACAAGGCGACATACAAAAATACAGCCAACTGAAAGGATCCAAACCAAGTTAACTCTACAAAAACATAAATAAATAATAAAATAAAAATAAAAATGGAGCATTAAACGTAGCCAGGTGCTCCCTCCTTTTGTTTTGGGCTTTCTCTTTATTTAGCCAGTCAATTGTACTTCATCTCTGAAAGTTCTGTTCCTCTCCCAAAAAGGAATAAAAAAACCACGATGATTATTAAGTTTATTCAAAAATCTCATTGACCTAGTAGAATGCCCCTCAGAGAATTTCTCAAAGGCAAACCTCACAATGTTAAAATCCCCTATAACTAAAAGGCACCAACACAAACTACAAATACCAAACTAAACAATCTTCCCAAAATTGATCTCTCTACATATATCTAGAAGGATCATACACCTCACCCAGTAAGCCACCACTCATGATTATCATGATTAAAAATTTTAGTAGAAATAGAATGGGATACTTGAATGACCGAAAAAGAATCCAATGAAACAATAATACAACATTGAACGCTGAGCTTCTAAGTCAATCCACTCACCAAACCATTTCCTTTAAATGCCCATAACTAATGCAAGAGAGCACATAAAACACTTAGTTCTTGCAGGACGACAGCATCTAGAGATTCCTAGGACAACTCCTTAACAAGCCTTCCCTAACATTGCCCCCAAACTCCAAGCATTTCAAGAAATAAGCTTCATTTTCTATACAAGCTAACTGTTTCCGCTCTATTTACTATAATATATACAAGTCATGGAGTACAATAGTTTACTTGAAACACTTCAGAGGCGAATATTGTGTCTAGCAGTAATTATATCAACTAACATCTCAATTCCTACCTCCCAAAAAGGAAAAAGAAAATATCTTCCTCTTTCACATAACAAACAAATTCTGAATAACCACCAAGGATATCAAATAAATGATCTTAGACTATAACACCATTGCAAATCCAATAAAAGTGTAAAATTGTACATCCATACGTTTTACTAAATTAACTTACTCGAATTATTTCTAATGCCAAGAAAACTGCCAAAGCTGCTCCAAAGGCTAGATTGAGAAACCTTGGCTGAAAATAACAAAAATGAAATACTTTCAGAATCTAGTCACAACCAATCCAGAATACTAGCACTGTTTTCACTAGAACAAAAATTATCCTACCAACAAAACATCAGTCATTAGTCCCAGTTTACCTGAAAGATAAGTGCAGGAAGAAACATCAAAACAGCCATGAGATGATAGTATTTGCGAAGAAGAATTCTCTCAATCTTGCTACTTCTTGAGATATTGTAGAACCGCAGAATAGATGCACAGATAACAGACAACCAGTAGACGCACAAAGATAGCCTTTTAAATGGTTCTGAAAATATAAAGGATATGACCCTGACAGAAGACAAATATGATGTATAAACATAAAGAATTGACATGACAAAAGATGCTCTGGTGAAGTCAATGAATCAAATTCGTGAGTTAGGAGAGTGTATATAAAATCTCAAATTATCAATGAACTGAGTTCCGAATTCCAACAGATTCCATACCATAAGAAAGGATGCGTGTTAAATTCATGAACAAACATCATCCATGATGGAGCGACCACAATCAAAATAAATCCAAGGAGAGCAAAAAATATCATAGATCTTCGGATCTCAAAGTATTTCTTAACTTCATGATTTTCCGTGTTCAAAGTGCATTCCCACATGTGGAGATGTTTAAAGACCACTGGACACAGAAGAATACCAAGCAGCAGACCCTACATGTTGGAACAACTATGTCATTCAGCAAAAGACAAAAACATGAGACCAGAACAATGTGAACCAGCTTCTATCAAATAAGATGCAAACCTGAATTATGGGACTAATCTCACTTCTGTTCATCATATACTGAACAGAAACCAAATCTGACGAACTAAAAGCCCCAAGAATCTGCTCCAAACAATCTCTTATAATCATTAAAAAAATAAGCAATAATTTTGGTTCAAGGAAAATATATATCATACCAACCTTAGCAATAGTACATCCCAGCATGTCACCAAAGTAGAGAACAAATCCAGCTGTAACCAATAGTGCTTCCCCTATAACAAGATGCCCACTAACGATGAAGAAGTAAGCACATGAAAAAAATTTGAACTAAACATGACAAAATCATAACTTAAGCTTGTGAGCATCACTACTAGAGGAATCTGGGCTAAAAAGTTTAAGCAAATTATAGGGCTTCTGGAGTTCCAAGTCCTTGCACTGTGAATTAGAACACATAGCATATTTGGGAAGGAAATAATAATACCCACTAATGGATCAAAACATTTACATTTGTTCTCATTGGGGCTAAACAAGATGCATAATTTTGCTGCCATACCATGGTTGAATATTTTAATTAATGAAAACTATATACTATTCAACATGTATATTTTAAATCGAGCTTTCATTATACAAATGAAGTTTCATTCCTTCATACTATTCAACATGTTACAATATTTTGATTTTTGTTTTCCCCAAATAATAAAGAAATTAAACGGATTAACTAAGAAAAGGAAAGAGGCATAACATACATACCGATGGAAGCACAAGCTGGAAAAGTACTAAGAAGATGCCGAATTAATTTAGAGGCAACGAACCCATGACAGAGTATCCATGATAACAGAAGAGCCATGCGGACACCTGATTAAAAAATCAGAAGAAAGAACAAAAATAAGTACCAAACATTTAAAAATTCAACAAAAACTTCAGCAGATTTCTCCATTCTATTTTCTGACCTAAATGAGGACAAAAATGATTTTGTTTTATGAGAACAAGGACGAGAATGAATTCACAAGAAGCAAATTTAGTTACCGTTAAGATATATGGTTGCTAGAGAACTATAGCACACAGCCACATATAAGATCTTACAACCTAGACCAAACTTCGACCTCCAAAGACGATGTGAACGATTTTGTGAACCAACATCAGGCTCATTCATAGCATTCCAGAGGAGCATAAGCACACTCAAGCAGCAGGTTGAAGTGGACCAGAATTGTATAGTCCAAGTTTCGATCTCTAAACAAAAAAAAAAAGTCAGAAAGTTCTGGTTGTCAATCAGCCACAATAATAACAAATGGCCCTAGTTCCAGTACCAACAACTAAACTAAGAGAACTTTTAAAAATAATGCCAACAATAGTCAGCACTTATTTAGAAACCCATTACCCTCAAGTCCAATGTCATTAGATGTGAAAGCTCTGGTAAGTTGAATCATCTTAGCGAGCATTGTGGCAGGCAGTGTAACTGCTCCTAATAGTATTCCCGATGAAGCACCTCGTCTACAGAAAGTCGGATTGAAATCATTGATATAGCAAAAACGGACAATGTAGAAAAAGGTCTTTGAGTAAAGTCAAAGCAGTTGACCATAAAAACCTCTCTTCCGTTTTAAAAACCAAAAGAAGTTCAATCATATTAGGAATTCAAATCTACCAGAACAACAGAAGATTAAGAGAAGATCTCCCAGAATTTTTATCTAAATTTGATGACAAAATATCAATTTTATTGTGTTGGGCCTCCAATAGTGAAAGTTTACAAGAGGGGAGAAAGAGAAATGTAACCTCTAAAAGCTTGTATGGGTTGTGCGCATATAAAGTACCAACTGTGAGAGTGTGGAATTTTGAGGCGTTTGCGTAAGGGAGAGTAATGGCCCTCTCAAACACCTTTCCTTTTCTTCTACCCCTGCATTCTTCTTCTGAATTGACTCCCCCAATCCCATGTCCCATGGTACCTTTTGTTTTCCCAGAGAGTGTTAAGAGAGGACAGCCGCCATGGTCTTATGCATGTCATCCAAGGAAGTAAAAATTATTGCTACAATCTGCACAAGGTGTTCTATTGTTCGCTCTTGTCCTAGAAGTCTTTGCAGTTTCTCCTCCATTTTTCTCATTTATATACTATTCAACGATCAAAGGTGACAAACACACCATGCAAGAGTCAGCTAATCCAATTTGAGATGGCCAGCTACTCTCCCTCCACAAACACACAATATTCATTACCCTTTTACCACTGCTCTCGCAAACTCTCATAAGTTTTCACACCATTCGAGGCCTAACACGTTCATCTTCCCATATTTACAAGCAACATCCAGAGACCACAAAACATTAACCGGAAAACTAACCAGAGACATAATTAATCACCCTAAATTAGTAGGACAAGCAGCATGTACTTTAAGGCAGGAATTTCGATGAATTAGAAAGGAAAGAAAAAGAAGGTACCTGGTCTTAAATTGAAGGAGAGAATTATAAGTCTCAGCTTGGATCTCAATGAAAAGAGCGGACAGGGTCAGAAGAGAGAGAGCAAGACCATGATAGAGGAGGGATAACGGGAGAGAAACCAATACGCTGGTGACGAAGAACAGGACCACGGCTCTCTCTCCATTCAGCAATGGGGTCATCGAGAAAGCCATAGTGGCCGCTCCCAGTAGCTTCTTTAGAACAGAAAAAGTAACCAAAACCTTAATCTCCTCTGTAATCTCTCCTCAAACTTCAATTGTCGCCTTCCCCAGTGAGGAACAGCCAAATTCCCCAAGATCTCTGCGGGAAAGCTGCAATCAGTGCCGCCGGCCCGACACCAATTCAACGGTTTCGATCCCAATTCAAAACGGCTGGTCTTCCTCAAGCGCCTTCTGTTATGGTATCGAAACCCTTGGATCTCCTGGTTGCGCAGATTCGTGGACCGGTTCAGATGCAGCCGGCCGGATCCCAACAACAGAAATCGCAGCAATTCTTCTGAAATTCCATGGATTGATACGGCACCTAGATTTTCTACCCCGTTTCGCGCGATGGGGAAGCCCGCAATATCAGACATTCCAGGAATTTTCCCTCTTCCATTGTCGTTTGAAGGCGGGTAATTGGCTGTAACCTCTAACGCCGTTGAACTCAAAATTCCATTTCTTTCTATATATTAATTTAGTCTCCGTTGCGTTTACTTTTTTCAAAAGTCTAATAAAGTTGTTGGTAAGAATTTAGTTTTTGTACAAGTAATCTTAATTAACTCAACTATTATAGGTTAAAAGAGACTAAATTATTATAAATTTTAAACTGTTGTAATTATTGATGTCAACATTTAACTGATCCACATGTTTAACATGCAATAATAGATCTCGACACCAGTGCAGTGTCCTACTAAAGGTCTACAGATAGTCAAGTTAGTAAATCGAATGATAGGAGGAAATGGAGAGTACTTATTTAGTGACAAATTTCTCACTTACACTTGTGAGGTGGGACTCTATCTCCTTTTATAGATGACAGAGCCAACCATAGAGGACGCAGAAGTGGGATGTGACAGGCCCCGTTCGCATACGGGCTTTGACAGGTTGTTAGGGGATATTCTCGACACATGGTGTCGTCCTCGTCATCTGCCACTACAATCTTGATGCAGGCTCTATCGCAGCAAGGCGAGTTGCTGGACTACTGTCCTTATGTTGCTCCTTTCGTTGGTCGTCGTATGTCTGTAGTGGGGTTTGTCCTCACCGTCAATTGTATGCCTGCACGCTCCTCACATCTGCAACTCTATTCTCACCTCGAACATATATATTAAAATTTAGAGATTAAATCTATTTTCTATGAAAGTAGAGAAGCAAGTGTGTATTATTATTATTTCTTTTGTTGTAAAACAAATTTCACTTCTTTATTTTCAAATATTTTTAAACAAATACCTGGTTAAACCACTAAATTCTTTTCTTATGTTTCAAAATTTTAAATAAGGAGTGATTTCTTAACTAGTTGAATAGTATTCAGATTGAAGATTTGGTTTCAATTTAATTTTTATGGTTCTATAAATTTAATTATAGCCCTATAGTTTAGTTAAATCTCTTTTTTTTTATCATAGTAATCAAATGTGTCTATTGACAATTTTGTCTTTTATTTTGTCGTCCAAACAAACAAAAACAAGCAAATTTTGCCTCTTGTTTGATTGGAAACACAAGTTTGGGTCATGTAACTTGCGTGACAAGTATCATTTCTTTCCAATAAAGCATTTTTATATCGAAAAATAATTGAATACATAACACATTTGTTATTCATGTTGTAATAAGCTAACATTTTCAATTTATCTAGTTATTACATAAGGACGAACAAGGGCTACGAGAGAGGTTTCCTATTATCCGTCTCTAGAATCAATTGAGAGACCTTTTTAAGTATGGTAAAAGAAAAGATATGCTGATCGATGTCAATTATCGCTGAACTATGCTGCTTTGACTGAAATTAAGTTAAAAACAAACAAACGAAAATGATTTTCTAAGTGGCCAAAAATGGGGGGCGGGTAAAAAAAAAGTAACTAACCATTTAATTAATGAGTAGGGTTTTATTATGATTTGATAAAATAGAAGAAAAATTCTGGAGAGAGTACAAATTTCAAGGAGAGACTACGGAGAGTTGTGATTCCCAACAGAAAAATAGGGTTTGGAATGATAAAAACTAAAAAGTAAGAGGAATTATTTTCCTGATTCAGTAAATTACAAAGACTAAAGTGTTACCTATTAAAATTCAAAATCTAAATTTAACAACTAAACTATCATCTTACCAATAGTATTTTTTTAAAACCATTTTTCAATGAGAATAAACTCATTAATTTGTTAGGAGTGATGAATATTACTAAATCTCATGAACCAACTTTTTTCTTTTAATTGAAAATTAGGTTAGGAGTGATGAATATTACTAAATCTCATGAACCAACTTTTTTCTTTTAATTGAAAATTAGGAACTAACTGCACAAAGTACTAAACATATTTTTATAGATTATTGTTAGGGAAATTTAGGTGAGTGGTTAAATTTGGCCACCTACTTAACAAAATGTTCATTAGTTTATAATTTTGCAAAAATGGCTAAAGGGTATATTTGAATTTTTACATTTTAAAACTTTTTCCCGCCCTTCCTATATTTTACATGGAATTTATATATATTTAACGACCCTAACAAACTTGGTGTTCAATTCAAAGTTTGGTTTCCTACCTTCAAGCGATTTTTTCTTAACTATTTTAATTATTTTATTAGTAATTTCATTTAATTTAAACGTTATCAGTGTTCCACTGTCCCCATCATATTCTTCTGTCATTCTACTGTATCTTCTTCTTTTAGCTCATTCTTTCCTTCCAACAATGGTGAATGTAGTAATCACAATTCTATAGGGTGGCACATGGAATGAAACAAATGGGTACAACAATTTCAACATCTCTCATATGTTAATTCAGAAGGATTGTACGTTGTCGCAACTTATCGAAGGCATTAGGAAGAATATTCATTTAACAGACGGACAAAAAATTTCATATATATCGTTGGTCAAGAATAATAGTTACAAGTCTCTTATTATAAGACTAGCTGAGAATAGGGATGTCACATGGTTTTTAACTGTGTTGTCGAATGAGCTGGGAACAGAGTACTGCATTGTTGTTGATACTGTGGATACCCGTATTGACTCCATGGATGGAAGTGAGAAGCTATTTCAGACGAATTTAAATGTCAACATCTACCCTAGCTATGAGAGTTCTACACAAGTGCAGTCTACACTAGATAACATTGTTGTAAATACTCCCATTGACCCCATGAATGGAGGTGTGACATCAGTACAGACATCCCACCATAAATGCAAGGAACTCATACTAATGAATCCGAGTCAAATTCATGGTTTCCCGTCCAACTTTGTTCCGAAAAAAGATTGTGCTTTTCTAAGCAAGGAAGAATTGAATAAGGTAGTTTACTCTATAGCCTTAAAGAGTAGTTTTCAGTTCAAAACAGTAAAATCCAACAAAAAACAGTTGGTATTAAAGTGCCTAGAGGAATCATGCAATTAGTATTAAATTTTTATGTTCTCCATTTCGTCTTAAATTTGTATCTTTCTTTGGGTGCGCATCCTCATCAGATTCTGTCTCTGAAATTTCTTTAGAAGTTGAGTTATTTACCTTATCTTCATCACNCAGTTCAAAACAGTAAAATCCAACAAAAAACAGTTGGTATTAAAGTGCCTAGAGGAATCATGCAATTAGTATTAAATTTTTATGTTCTCCATTTCGTCTTAAATTTGTATCTTTCTTTGGGTGCGCATCCTCATCAGATTCTGTCTCTGAAATTTCTTTAGAAGTTGAGTTATTTACCTTATCTTCATCACTAGATTCATTATTCAGCCTTTCATTTTCTTCATCAGATTTCATATCATCCTTATATTAGAAGAATTATTTAAATTAGAATGTCAGTAAATACATATACCAGTACATATAATCATGCAACTCCATCATCAAAATATGTATGAGTTAATAGATGATTGAGTAAATATATGTATGTACTAATAATTTAACAATTAACAAAACGTGAAAGTTAATAGATGTATATATCAATTCAAGAAACAACCAGATACGTAAGTGAATACATCTATTTACAGTCTTACAACTAAATTATCATAATTTTATAAACTAGTACATATATATCCAAATAATTCAACAATTAACAAAACATGAAGTAAACAAATGTATATATCAATTTATAAACCAAATTCAAAAGTCAATACATCTATTGAYTACTGTACTACAAAAGCTAGTACATGTATATCTCAATAATTACCTCACTAACAACGCACTGTTTCTCAACTATCTTGAGATATTTTCCTTTTCCCTGGAACATAAGAGTATAATTAGAATCTAATTTTTAAATATACACCAACATCCACTGAGTTCTTACCTTCTTGGTGGATTCCTTATAACCCAAATTCCTTTTAGGTTCAATTTTAATCTGTTTTGTTTTACCTCCGACCAAGTCTCCTCCACCCCTTTTTTTGTTGGTATCCTTCAATTTCTTGCTTTTCTTTCCTTGGACAACATCACATTCTACAGTATTCATTGGAGTCTTTCTTTGGGGACTTGATGATTCAATCTGTATATATAAAAATACAACAAAACAGATTAAACTTGAGGATTTTTAACAAAAGAAACAACCCATATGTAAACAGATTTATATATACCTCTTCTTCACTTGCTAAGTTGATTGTGCACGTTTCTCTTCGACCCCCTGTTATTCCAACAGCCTTCAATCGTTCACTCGATCATCGAGTTATTCCTCCTCTAACTCTAACCATATCTATAGATATTATTTAGATTTTAATTTACTTAAATATAGTAAGTTTGTTGGAGTTAAACACATATACTCCTCAAATATGGTTATTAACAATACGGTAGGTCCCATATTTATATATTTTTAAAAATACACCTGAAATTTAAGAAGACAAAAAATTTCTTTCTAAATTAAGCTGCAAAAACCTTCATCAAACAATCAACCTTAATTAGAACAAAGACCTACCTCAAACAGTCGGGGTATTGACGAACGAATCTTGTTCAAACGGCAGGGAGGTATTGACGGTGCGGCGGCGATATGGATGGCATGGCAGCAGTATTAGTTTGTAATGCGGTTTCGAGCGACGGCTAACGAAGCTCCATGGAGGACAAGAGCGCCTGAGCAGGGGTTCGACGACTAATGGATGGGATAGTGGTTCGTGCGTCGGCGTGGATGGGGCGGCTGCGTGAGCGTCCAGTTGGGCGAGTTGGGC